GACAGAGAAATGTAGGTAAGTTTACTTTTGGAAAAATGGAAATGTAACATCACATTGTATTTAAAACAAGAGAAAAAAAGTGTAGGGTAAAATAAAAATGTAACAAAAAAATTTTAAAGGAAAGGGAAAACAAAATGAAATTTACTTTTGGAAGTAAAATGCATAAGGGAAAAATACAAATAAGGGAAAAAACAAAAAACTGCATTTGTGTAAACAAAAAAACTCAAAAAAATTTAAATTATGAAACTAAATGTTACTTTTTAAAAAAAAAAGTTAAAAAATGTAGTAACACCTTTTTTAAAAATAAAAAGCGGAAAGGAAAAACTTAATTTTTAAAAATAAACATTACTTTTGTAAAAAAAAAAGTTTAAACAAAAAATTAAATTAAAGTAAAGTAAAAATACGAAAAGGAATAAATTTGAAAAAAAAAAACTTTTGCAAGGTAAAAAAGTAAAAAGAAAATGTAAATTCACTTTTGTAGAAATAAACGTCAATTTGCGAAAGTTAAAAATAAAATTTATGTTTGTGAAAGGAAAAACATATTAAATCAAAAATTAATAAATTAACTAATAACTTAAAAAATAGTAAGAATGAGATGAAAAATGAAAACGATTAAAAGTATCTTAATAATAAAAAAAATTAAATCTTACATTTAAGACAGCAATGAATAAAGTAATGATTTAGAAGCCAAAAGAAATCCTAGCCGTCGTGTAAAAACAAACGCGTGACGCGGTTTTCATGTCAAAGCACATGCGCAGACTTTCAACCTTATGGCATCAATGGTGGAAATAAGACAAAGAGGGTTTCAAATAACAAATCTGATAAGATGACCGGGTAGCCATGTGGTAACGTTCAGGTCTTTCATCTCAGAGATGGCGGGTTCGAATTCCGCTCGTGGAGTTATTTTTAAAATTCAGGGAAAATAATATTAAATTCAATAATATGGATTAAAATATAATAGAATTAATTAAAACTAATTAAAAATAATGACGGATTAATTAAAAATAATTAATCAAGTGTTAAATAATTAAAAAGCGTAAATAAGTAAAAATTATAAAATAAAACGTGTTTGGCATTATTAATTATAATAATGCCAAACACGTGGTTCAAGATACCGTTGCCATAAACATAAAAAAATAGTGTTGTTGCCACAAGAAATAAAAACTTTGAAAAGTAGGATCGTTGCCACAAAATCAAAACGAAACTCAACCCGATTACGTCATCCACATCGTTTACGTCACTTCCGGTTTGTCATGTGATCCAAGATGGCGGAGGACACGCCCCTTTTCTATGACGTCACTTCAGCCGACCGGTTACGGGAGCTTACTACTGTAAAACTTTGTTTTTGGATTGACAGATTATCTTTCCTTTGCACTAAATGCATTACTAGACAGAACATTTTTTATGGCCATTCTAAGAGCTTTCCACTCTTTTGCACTATTGCATAGGCGCACTGTTAATCTTGAACGCTATTAGGTTTAATTTTTTAACTGCTGTTATCTATTAAGCCGATCAGAAGATAAAGATAAGTTAATAAATTTCCTTTGACGGGGTTCTGCCAGTTGCTGAGTGCTTAAGAGTGCTGAATATTGGTAATTCGACGTCGGCTCGAACTCAGGTGCGCCAGCTGGCTGCACGATCGGTTTTCGTGGTTTACCTCGTGTAACTTGAATACGAGCCATTTTCCCTTAAAATTTCTCGATGGAGGAGTCGCTCTCCTTAGGCAAATAGCCCTTGAACGCTTTTTTGAAAATAACCTAATCTTTTCCTTTACTGCCTTTTATGTTTCAGAAAATTATAGCTGATTTTGGAATACATTTTATCTGATCCTGAAATTCTGTGGGAAGAACGGAATTATGATCTACATCTAAATAGACAAAATGTTAAAACCCTTCTTTTTACATGAACTAGTCTGCCGGTGACGTACAATCATGTAGCAATCAGGAACTGCTCGTGTAAGGGGCACTCATCTTCAGAAGTAATATAACTGCTGTTAGTATGAAAAGGGAAAAGACGAAAGTTTAGAATGATTTTAAACGAGACATGATCGCGGGGACAAGACGTTTCAACTCATGTATTTTAATCTTTTCAAATATTTGTTAATTATACAATTTTTACATGTGTTCCTGAACAACATATTAAACGAATTGGGAATTTTTGTATATATCCCTCTTTCAGGTTCAGGTGCCCTTTCTTTCGCTCTCTAATTGTGGTGGTCAGAAAGAAAAGCTTAATAGAAGAGGTTGCTTCAACAAAAATTTTTAGTGGATCTCAAAACTCTCATCTAAAGGATTTTCATGGTGTGTTTCAATCAAAACTTTGAAAGATGAGACAGTTCTCAAATATTATTGAAGTCTCGGAGGCCAACTTTTCTGCAGTTGGGTGAAATATCAGATACGCATTTCCATTCTTGAGATTATAGAGAATTTTATTGCCTCTTAAAACATTAGAGCAGACATCTGCAAAAGGGTGGGAACCCTCCAGTTCATCCCTTCTGGAATTGAATTTTGGTCACTAGTGACCAATTCATCCCTTTTGGAACTGAATTTTGGTAACCGAAGACAGAACATCAAGGCATGTTTAAAATACCCTAAATTTAAGAAAATAGTACACATTTCTGAGATACTGGAGATTTTTTTCTTCCACATTTTCGTTGCTCTATAGAGAACTAAGTGAGCTACCCTGAGTATAAAAAGTAAACCAAAACAAATTGCCTGTACTTTAAATATCTAATTCGTGATATTTTTTCTTTCTTTGATAAACAGCTGAATTAGACAATTATGTACTTTCGTGCTCTGTTTAGAAAGAATTTTAATTCTCTTCTCGAGCTGAAAATATTTCTCATCAGGAAACAACGTTCAAACATGGAAATGCCAGACTACTGCTTTCGAGATTCATCTCAAAGTGACTCAGTAAATTAATTTGGAATCATTGCTTATATTTGTACATAGTCATTACACTATGTACAGATATTATTGGACTATGTACATCATAATAATAATTCTAGAGGTGCTACCATCTTCTTTTCCTGTGACTGGTTACAGCATTTCTGAAACGGTTGAATGCTTTAACCTTTTCTACTGTAGCAGTATATCGTGGTTTTTAGAACATGGTAGTTGAGTAAAACAATATATCAGGGAACCATAAGGACTGCCTTACAAATACAGTTATTATGATTTGAACTTTTACTCGAACTTTTTTTTTCCGTCGTCTTTACCAGAGAATGCAAATTTTCCTTTCCGTGAGAATGCAAATTTACTGTAGAGTACTTTGAAAGTTTCAGAGTTACAACTTCTGGCAGCCTCGCATTCCAGTTACGTACTATGGCCAGTTGTGCCAAAGTTTTATTCCAGTTTTAGCATCTTGCTAGCCGACTTTTAAAATACGCGTGGTTAATCATTTTTAGGTAGCTTAATTAATCTGTTTTGCGAGTAGTCTCAGGCTACGTTACCTGCATTGAAATTAACTTCATCTTATGTTATGTTAAATACACGCAGACAGCAAAGATTCGTCGGTAGCACAAGTAGTTCTGTTCATTTAAGAGTTAAGTAAAAAGGTCATTTGTTTCAGACTAAAGCGACAACTCGCTTCCCAGTCTAATCCTAGTTTGCAGGATATTGAGATAAGCTTTTAAACATGGCAGAACCTACAAATTCGTCAGTTGAGTTTAAACAGACAGACAATAGCTTTCAGGTAAATCTAGAATGTGTAATTATACACTCCTGAGCATATCAGTCGCCAAGCTTAACAGAGAGAGTTCCCTTAGCACTTAAATGCATGTTATTGTTGTACAAAATCAAAGTATTTATTTGCTGTAGAATCCCAGGCTATTATCATTTGAGTTTTCCAATGATGGCCATATGTGGCCCACCTTGCTATCTCTAATTTTGCGATATGCGCATATATATAAGTAATTTTAGTGAAATTGTAGTTTCTTTTGTATATATAACATGAAATGCTTGAAAAAGCGAAGTTCTGCCGGAAAAATAAATTGAAAAATATCTGCTGAAAAAATGCAGGGGTAATATTTAATATTGAGGTAAATGGCTATCTCGCTGTGGATTGTTTTGTCGACTAATTTTTTGTCACCAAATTTAGCGAGATATTGCCAAAAGTTGCCATATTTGGCAACTATTTGGCGCCAATTTGGTTCAATGCCTGTATGACTATAATTCGCACCGGAATTGAATAACTGCAATTGATCCCTGCATGTAAATGCAATTGTATCCGTTTTTATATGTAACTTTATATGCCTTCCAATAATTTCGAGAAATGGAAGGTACTAGAGACTTCTGGGAGGCCGGGGGAAAACTATATAAGCCCGGAAAGGGCATTAGTTTTCAGTTTAGAGCTCACTTCGGAGTGAGCTCTAACTTTGAGCTTCACTTGAGAGATCTCCGTGTGAGCTTCGCTCTTTAGATGACGTCTGAACTCGTAGTGTTTAACATCCTTAGTAATCTGAAGTGGTAGCTACTAATTTTGCTTTATCATAATGAGTTGCACGAGTTCTTGTGGAAAGTTCCAGAATTATAAAATGTTGCTTTCGTGAAAATAAATTTTATCAAGTTATCATCTGTTCTGTGTGCATTCAATCCATTACCAACGTGCACGTACGCAACACTAATTTTTACAAAAGTATCAATAATATCTTCATAGATTTTGATATTACATTTACAAATTTGTTTGTTTGGGGAGATTTGTCTGCCATAATCAATGCCATAAAACATTTATTCTTTTTATTTATCAGGTATAAATTCAACATTTTTAGCATTTAACAGTGAAATTCTAGACCTTGGGAAAAATAGATACGAAGTTAAGTACCCAGAGAAAGTATTTGTAAGAAAGTGCTTATTTTACTTTCTGCTTAATGTAGTTGCTAGAATGGTTTACTGAAGTGACACCATTTTTCTTTATTATGTTACATTTTGGTATTAATACAAATGCTTATTATTATCATATTAAATTAAGTATCAACTAGCCTAGAAAAAAACGTAATTTACCTAAAACACCTAATCTGTAGTTAACAGTCACAACTATAACTTGTCCAGCAGAGGCCAACCACTCGCCTGGATAGAATCTTCCTCCATTCGTTTTGTATGATCCTCCATGTATGAAGAACATTACTGATAATGGTTTATTGGTCTTGCTTCTGCTAGGAAGAGCCTTAAAAAAATGTACAACGTACACAAAATGCACACATATTTTTATGTTTGTGTATATGAACACATACACATATATACACAAGCAAACAGAAGAGGCACTCTTCCAGCAAACACCACTGAATTAAAAATTGGCCCCAAAACAATTTGAAACAATTTTGTATTGATATACAAAAATATATTACTTCAGTTTTAACATTAAGTAATATCTTTAGGAATCAAACTGTATAACTTATTGTTTGCTCTGTAACTGCAAGCTCTGCGGGTACTTTTTAGTCCGTTGGTATTTTTTAGTATTTAAGTTAGGCAAATGCCTTGAAATAGTTTCATATAATAAAAATGAAACAAATAAAAAATAGATTTAAATAAATTTTCGTTAGCTTTATTAATTTAATTTATTCCAGATATAAATATTCAAATTGAATCCCTAAATGGATGTAATTAATAAATATGAAGAAGAATTCAGAATACATCTGAAGAAAATATACAACAAATTAACACTAATTTAACTTTTTTTTATTTGTATACAGCAGCAGATTTTATGAGAATTTTTACTATAGAACACTACTTTTATGTTTAGTTTGTATGTTTGTTTTTCCATTTTTTTGCTATTCTAAAGTTTTTCAAAGTTAAAATTCTTTAAAAGATAATTTTAGAGACAACGATGCGTTTTCCATAGATTATTTTAAATACATTTTATTTCATGTATATAGTTTGTTCTATAGACGAATTTATTTACAATAAAATATAACAAATTTTTTTAAATGATAGAACTTAAAGAGAATTATAAGCTGTATATACAGCTGCAATTAATCGTATATATATATATATATATATAAGTGCGAATTATTGATTTGTTTGAGGTGATTATAATTTACTATTAATATAAGTATGAAATCAATGCAACAGCATTTAATCTTGAGTCACTGAAGACAGACAGACAGTAGTACTGAAGACTGAATCCGTAAGAAACCCTGAAATTGTGTAAAATCAATATAAATCAAAAATAATTTTAAATAGTTTATTGTAACACCTTTGAGCAAATCTAATTCTTTTTTCATAAAAATATGTAAAAGTAAATCATTTATTATATTACAAATAATTATAGATTGCGTCTCAATCAATCACAAATGTATTAAAAATCATTAAACTATGTACAGTGCATAGTTTGTATATTGAAGTATACTGGTGTGAAGGAAGTAATATAATTATCATGTATGTTGAAGATACATGTATGTAAATTATTTTGGAGATAGGTGAGGCTAGGTAGAACAGACACTTTCCTTAAATTGAAAAGAAATAAATAATTAAATATGCAAATGAATGGAGGTTGTTTGATGCTATAGCAATATTTTTTCGTGTGAAATAAATCGCAGTTAAACTGTAGTTTTGAAAAGCAGCGCAATAATATGGGCGCTATTACAACAGGCGTTTCTTGCAAGTGGTTTTAAGCGGTTAAGAAAGATAATCAAAAAGTGGTTCAAAGCAAATAAAAAAAACAAACTCAGTGGTTTACAGCTTTTGACACTGAAGATTACATTTAATTAGACAACTTGTGTTTTCCATTTTCAAAACATATTCAAGTGTTTATACTTGTGTAGATTTATTTAATGCCAAATATTTGATTTACGCCTAATTTCTGATTAGCTGCACGCATTTTTAGTTGTACGTTAAAGATTCCATCTTTGCTTTTGCAAAATTTTTATAAGAAGCATAAAGTGTTATTAATTATTGTTTCCTTTGAAAGTTTACACTTAATAACAACAGTTTAAAGAGCCTTAGATTTTTTCAATACGAATATGCTTCTCCAAAAGAATTAAAAACTGTATCATAACATTTCCAGTTAATTATAAAAGACTTTTGACATCTTTTTGAGGAAATTTTGTCTTGGAGACACAACCCAAAATTTTTCGTAGATTCTATTCCTTAGTCATGATTAAGGGTGAAACGTAGAAATATTTGTTGAAGAAAGAACAAATTGTTTGCGCCGACTTATTTGTATGCATCTTTGCCGAGAACTAAAATGTGTTCAATCTATGTCGTGATAAAAATGGGCTTCATTGAATATGAGTATTTTGTTAACCGACACTACTCACAGCCATCTGTAGCTCGATCTGTCAGCTGAAATGCCAACAAACTTGGTAGGAGTATTAATGACGACATGGGAAACAAAATTCGGTGAAAAAAAGATCAGTTCCTAAAGTTGAAGAGAAGTTGAGGAGAGGATGTGGCATTGTTCGAGTCTACACAACAAAAAAATTGTGTGAAACATACGTAAAATTTAAAAATGCAAATCCTCGGTTATCAATAGTGGTGTCAGTAATTCAGTCTATAAAAATATGAAAAAACCCCGAAGGCATTCCGAATGTTTTCTGGGTTCAACATACGCTTCACTTTACCTCAGCGAGCTTTACTTGTGAGTAAGATGCTTTATCAATCAATGCAATCTCCAGTCTTCGTGAGTTTAGAAGTCGTAATAACCTACGTAAAGACCCTATATCAATTAATGCATTGGAAGGGTATGATTCAGAAGTTTGAAGAAAGAGAATCCTTGTCAGTTCAGTTTGATAGTGGGAGGAAACCGATATCAGACCGGACAATTATTGATTTCGCGATTGCAATCGTTGACGGACCCATTAAACCGTTACTGGTAGAACCAATGCCTTGGGAATAAAGCTACAGTTGGGATCTGAATCTTTCAATGGTATGGGGAATCTTTCACGAAAGTTCTTTATTTATACCCATACCAAACAAACTGGTTGCAGGAATTAAAATACAAAGATTATGATAAACTGAGTAGTATTTGTTCTGACATTTCGTGCCAGGATGGAGATCGACAAGGCTTGGACGTGGAGACTTCTGTGGGGAAGTGAGGCCTTATTATTTTGGACCTTTTGTCATCAACGGGCATAGCTACTCTTCATGAATACGTTTACCACTGGCAGATAACAAATTACCACTTTTTAACTTTTCGCTATAGCGTTCTGTATGTAAGTCTGACGCAACAATTAAAAAGGATTGTTCATCTTGCGTGTGTGCTATTACTCTGAAGTACACTTTTTTTAAGTTTCAGATTTGCAAAGTTCCTTCATGGTACTGCAGTTGTCAAAAATAAGAATGTATATGTGTGTATACATTCTTGTATTCATGCGTGGATTGTAAAACTAGTTTCGTATCGTATTCATTTCCATACTAGACATGATATAATTCAGTTTCTTTGGACAAGACAAGGTAACTAATTATTTTAATTGTCTAGAAGGCAATAGTTATCAGAGATTTGTATTTACTTCAAGTTTAAAATAAAGGGATAAGCTTTCCTAACAGTTGCAAATTACTTGCAGTTTCTAAACTGTATCCAATATTCAAACTTTAACTACTCACATCCTATATCTTAGAGCTTCTTTCTGCGTACAGTTATTTACCACTGTCACCTTCGTCACAAGAATTAAGTGTTACCTTTCTATTTAGATAATACAATTTGAAAATATTTAATGCTTGATTTTGCAAGAGATTCCTCGCGCTCTTCGTACACGAATCATTCGTTTTACTTCCTTGTACGAAGTAAAAAAGGAAGTATTGTAATCGCGAAAAGTTTCAGGCAGCATATTTCAACGAAAATATCCATTTTGACCGCTATCGAATGCAATTTAACGATGTTTTTGCATGATATCTGTACGTAAGGACTGAATAAAATACTCTTTTCCTTCAAAAAAAATTATAAAACTGCTTTAAAATTAATTCTGAAGAGAATTTTTCGTGGCGTCTGTACGAACGTACGTACGTACGTACGTATCTCGCATAACTTAAAAACGAGTAGCCTCAGAACGATGAAATTTTGTATATAGGACTGCTATAACATGTAGATGTGCACCTCGTATTTTGGTTGCAATCGGCCGCACCAAACGTATATAAATATATTCATATATATATCCACTCTGTTACCCGGCTCAGTGATCTCAGTTTCTTTACTCTTATATGTTTGTAAATTGTACATTTTTTGCTTTAAAAATGATTGACTTATTTGTTTTTATCTTCCGGTTAAGGATTTTATGCCTTTAGTAACTCTGTGTGCAATGTTTTTAGAATTATCAGCAATTTTAAAGTTGTTTAATTGCCGCTAAGCCTTTTTTAATGGCGGCCATTGATGTTTACATTTGAAACAGGAGACTAGTGGATTTGTTGCCAATCTAGAGAAACTTAGCAACAACAACGATAACGCATTCATTTATTATTGCCAATTAAATCATGCTTAATTCTTTCTGGAATTTTTTCGAGAAAATAAGTGTTTGAGATTTACTTCGTAATTATTAATATAGATATTTTGAGTTTTTAAGTATTTTTGCCTTCTCGTGAAGTGAGAACTGAATTAATTAAATGAGAAGTACTCAATCGTCTGTGAAAAACTGTTTCTTTTCTTTTCTTTCTTTTTTTTTTTTTTTTTTTTCTTTTTTTTTTCTTTTTTTTTTTTTTTTTTTTTTTTTTTTTTTTTTTTTTTTTGCTTAATTTCTTTTATACATAATTCTAGCTTTATTATAGTATTTGAATAGAACATGTGGCAACGATTAGATAATTCTGTTCTTTAAATGATATAAATTTTGTGCATTATGAGTTATAATGTGAACGAAATATTATACTGAAGGGGAGTCATCAGTTTTGCGCAACACAAAAAGTGAGAATTTTAGCTGATTTTCCAGTTTTAATAAGTGAAATTGTTTTTGTCATGCATATATGAAATTTTCAGTGTGTCATCTTTATACATAGATGATTATCTTTCTTGATTTATTTTACTTAATAGTGTATAAGAATTTGTTTTATAAAAAAAAAACTAACTGTATTTTCCGAAAATTTAAAATTTGTACTGAAGCACTACGCGCAAACTAACAGTAATACAAATTTAGTTACAGTAATAATTTTTAAGTGAATCTAGCGCCAAAGCGTCGCTATGGTAAACAAATACTAGAGTGAATTTTAAAGAATGCATTTATTCTATTGTGGTTTATGCGCTGTCGGCGAAGTAGACTTAATTCAATCCAATAAGTTTAAATGAAATGCAAGAAAAATGCGTATAATTTAATATTCCGTACAAGGAAGTCATGTGGTGTACACATCAGATTGTCTTCTAAGAAACACTGATATGTTAATGAATCTGAAAACGATTATCTCAGTACATTAAGTGATAATCCATATTACTGTACAAAATGAGACAACCTAAAAGCAAGCGGGCCCTAGCATTAAGAAACTCTTTTCTTAAGTTGTCCAAATATTTACAGTTAACGTCAGTGTTTGCTAACACTATATTACTGTGAGAATTCACAGAAACGTTTTATATTGTTTATCGCATGGAAGCGTGTATCATGTAATAAGACTGATTTATCGGATTTAGCTCAGAAAATATTTCAAGCTAGCATTTTTAAAATCGGCGTATTTCTTTAGGTCATTTTTAACTTTTCATCCTAGACAAAACATGGGCCAACTCTAGTAATAATCATATTAAAATGAAATATTTCTCTTGATTTTCCTAAAATTTGTTTTCTTTAATTATTTACAGAGCATGTTATCATTTTGGATTCATATATTTTCAAACGAAAAAGTGCTTACCTCAGCTGGTACGTAAATGTTTAGATTTAGGCAATCTTCTCCTTGAGAATAATTCCACAGGCCCAATCTGCGTAATACTTTTTTGCCTTTAGCCGTGGTAACTATATCCCAATGAGATCTGTTTTTGCTTTGGGCACATAAAGGTCCGAAGGTCGTAGCATTGAAGATACCTTTCCATGGAGCTTTAGGAACTGGGGCCTATAAATATTCAATCAATTTAAAGTACGAAAAATAATTTGTAACAGATATTTTGCGCAAAAAAGTAAGTTTATATAAAAAAAGTAAGAATGAATTTTGCTACACTCTTTTCTCATAATATATTACCGTAATTGAACATATAAGGGCTATTCACATCTCTGTGGAACATTTCAAACATTCATACAAATAAACTATGCAGCCAATACCAAATTTTGGAATGACAAAAAGAAGCCTATATATCAAACTTTTACATTATAAGGTATTTCTCCCGCCTTCTTGGTGTAGTGGTCTGCACGTTGGGCCCGTATTCCAAAGGTCCGAGGTTCGATTCCCGGCAAAGGCGTTGCTAATTTTTCACTTCTCCTGCTTCCAAAAAATACCTAATGTTCCTACAGTGGCGTCCGAACTAAAAGAGTATTAAATGATGATTCTCATCACCCAGGATTTGGCGATTGGGTCCCCTTAAAAACCCAGTCGGGGGTTAAAAGGGGGAATATATGAGGTATTTCTCCCGCCTTCCTAGCGTACCTTCATGGTGTAGTGGTCTGCACGCTGTGCCGGTGTTCCAGAGGTCCCTGGTTCGATTCCCGGCGAAGACGTTGCAAATTTTTCATTTCTCCTGCTTGCAAAAACATACCTAATATCTCTAGAACATATTTCGAAAACGCTTAAACTGATCCTGATACCTTTTGAATCTAAGCAATAAACCGTTTCGTCTCCCACTGTGCCAATTTATCGTCATCAACGACAACCATAGCATGAGTGATGTGATTGCGAAGCTCTTACTGATTACCGGAAAGCGAAAGCATTGGTACAATCTTCTTGATAAATTTCTACAAGAAAAGTTCGCTTGTAAATAAATCTCAAAGACTGGGCTAACCAGTGCGTTAACAGACCATGTTCTCGTCCTGTGCGTGCTATCCACTTTAGTGTCATATTTTTATTGGAATACTTTCACAAAAGGTTTCTTCTCTCAGTGGTCTTGATAACTGTGTTCGTAATAGTCAGCCAGACAACAATCTTGTTGAAAAAGAAAATCATTTCAGTTTTCATTGACCAGTGGCATAGGCAACTTCCCAACATATCCAAATAAATCCAACCAATGATGATATATATTTGCCGTATCAACAAAGATATAAGCAATAGGGATTTATGAAATATGATAAAAAATTAATGAAATCACCTCTATTTCAGTGTTATAAAATTTAACTGCGTATTCTATTTGTTATAGCATTTTAAAATATTTTTACGAACTTCAGAATTACTCTGTATTTCTCGGTAAAGAACGTTATTTTTCTCATAATTATCTCCATGCCAAGAAATTGGAGATTTATATTCAACTGGAAATGGTAGGTAGATGTAGCAATTGCCATTTCTAATATTTAAGATTTTCATTTGTGAACACTGTGTGCTCCATAACACAAGGAACTACAATATAGTTTCCAGTGAATGCCTAGCCAGTGCTGAATTTTTTTACTTCACTGATCTATCTGCCTCTGGACAACTTTACTTAAATTATGTCTACGACAAATTTTCTTTTTCAGCATTGCAGCATAGAATAAATAGCCTTTTATACACTGGTTATCATAAATTAAGAAAAAATCACAAAAATAGCGATAACTCCCTCAAAAATAAGCTAAACCGTGTAAAATTTGAATATAATGTCAAGTAAGAGTAGCTGAGTAAAACTGCAATATGCAAATTAGTGGCAGTGCACTCGGAATACGTCATCTGCGAGGAGCATAAAAGTCCATGTTTGAGAGCAAGCCCACATATTTCACTGTGATAGTGACATCAGAAATCTGAGATAGCCAATTCGTAACAATGACCTCCAGGCATCATTTGCCTGCAGAACTGCGATGGAGAGCCATTGGGAGACTAGAGGCAGGACAAAGTCAAACAGAAGTGGCCAGATGGCTAAATGCGAGTCCTTCTGTGGTTCATAGACTTTGAAGGCAATTTCAAATCCCAGATTCGGCACTTAGGAGGTTCAGTCAAGGACGGCCAACCTGCTACGACGAGCGCCGATGGCCGATATTTGACATTATGTGCACTCAGGAATAGAACTGCTACTCGACTCTTCTTAGATCCCTCCCTTGCTGCAGCCAACGAAAGGTTGGTGTCAACGTCAACTGTGCGTAGAAGGCTTCACGAAGGTGGTCTGTATGCGAGGCGACCAGCCATTTGTGTGCCGGTCATGTTACGCCATAGGAAGGACCGTTTTCAGTGGGCACGGCAACATGTCCACTGGACGCCTGATCAATGGAGGGCGGTTCTCTTTATGGATAAGTCCAGGTTTTATCTAGAAAACTATAGTAGGCGTTATTTGATATGGAGAGAACCTAGAACCCGTTATCATCCATCAAACATCCGTGAAAGAGATGCATACGGAAGGGGCAGTGTCTGTGTTTGGGGTGGCATCTCTTTGGGTGGACGCACAGACCTCCATGTCTTTCCAAGAGCAATCGTGAATGCTCAGAATTTATAGAGATGACATCCTTGATGTTTATGTGCGCCCATACACCGGGGCAATAGGTGATGCTTTCCTCTTACAAGGACGACAACACAAGACCACACGGGCTCGCATTGTAGATGATTATCTTCAACAGGAAACAGTTATGCGCATGGAAGTGGCCAGCTCGATCCCCGGACTTGAATCCTATCGAGCACGTTTAGGATGCTTTAGGGAGACGTCTAGCTGCTCTCAATCCGCCCCCTCAGACCCTTGTGGCTCTTGCAACTGCTTTGCAAGAGCAATGGCTCTCGCTTCCTATAGAACTGATAGACCGGATAATTGAAAGCATCACACATCGCTGTATGTGCTGTATTGCTTCTAGAGGCGATCATATTCCATATTAAAGATACTTTTCCTATATCAAACTGACACCCTCGATTTGTTCATTTTATACATATGCTAATTTCTATACTAGCATATTTGTCCGTTAATTTCTTTTTATGTTATTTGATACCTTACTATGTGTTGTACATTCTGGGTAAGTTTCATTAAATTCTACATGTAACTTTTTCAGTAATCGTGTATATTATCATAATCCGTATTAAGAATATGTATAGTTGAAATGATAGTAAATAAGAGACAGTCGCTTTCACATTTATAACTCTAAGCCAAACTCCAATTTGTTATTAAAGAAAAAGATGGACTTACTTGGTAAATATATATTCAATGAGTAAATATTTTATTATTACAAACCCAAATCAGTATTATACATCTAGGAAAACGGCTTAAGACATTTAACTTTCTGTTCTGCTAATAATTTATGTCTAATAAAAGTATTCCATGTAAATAAAAAAAATCTAAAAATTAAAAAAAAAAAAAAAAAAAAAACTATCAAAATGCAGTCGTTTATCGTTAAAGTTTGCACTTTTAAAATCCCAATGCTGGCTAATTATTAGTAACAAGTTGGTTAACATTATAAAAAAAAAATATATGTGTTTGCGTAGAAAAAATGTATATGCAATTTAATGCAATATTTTTATGATAGAAATACAAGTATCTCAAGAATATTCGTAGTTACTCTAATCGAGGCACGTAAATCTCACGCCCTTTACTCCTCTGCGGCCGTTGGCTTACTTAAAAAAATAACAAAAAGTGCTTGTATAATTAATTATTACTGTATAATTAATTATCAATTGTTGTTATTTTTCATAAAATTAAAAGGTTACTAATTACTAATATTGTTATTTTTTAACAAAATTACTAATCAATATATCATTACAAATTAGAATTCATCCAATATCCAGGCGGATATACAACCTCAGGTGCTAAAAAGAATTTTTTACAAAAATATTTTCTCAAACGACATAAAGAAAGTACCAACCTATTTAACAGAAATTCAGTGCAATTGAGCTCTAAAGCAAAAATTTCATGATGTCTGTATCCCCGAAATTTAGAAATGCTTACCAGCGCGGATGCCAGAAAGTATCCAATTTGCATCGTGAATCATTTTCATGTTCGGTTGTATGTACCAGTGGTGAACAGCTTTTGTTATGAAAAGAGGCAAATTCCCAGCAAGAGACATAGTAACAGACTTTCGTATTATTAATAGTGTTCTGAAAATCGTTAGTGCGAGCACCATATTTCCGCACATCAGACAGCTGGTAGCAGAAAAAAAAGTCCCAGTTATCGGGAAAGAAATGGTACGTATCCATCATTCTGCTACAAAAAGATTTTCTTATAGTCTTTTTGTTTTTAAAAAAGCTACAATATTAGGTAGGATTTTTATGTAAATTTACTCACTTTTTATTATTACGTCAAAGAAGTAGGTAAATGTTTTTCTCTTTGCTTCAAGCCCCATTGCACGCTGGTGGGCCCCCCAGCGGCCGAGCGATAAAGACGCTGAACACTGGTAGTTCGGTCCGAGGTTCGAATCCCGCGAACGGACTGGCTGCATGGGCGTTTTTGTGGTTTTTCCCATGTGTGACGTGTATACGAGCCATTTTCTCTTAGAAAGCCCTCCACGAAGGTATCCCTCCCTTTAGGCCATAATTGCCATCCAATCCATTGTACGCTGATTACCATTTGGCTCATCTGAGGTACTAAGTTTGCCATGCCTGCTCTGGTCAATTACTTAAAATTTAAAAGATGCAACAGTAAATCGAAAACACTTTACCATCAGATATATGTGAAAAAGAGGGGTTTTTTTTAATAATAAATCAGCTTGACAAAAAAAAAATAATAATAATAATAATAATAATAATAATAATTCTGAAAACTTTCAGATTTTAGATTACGCCCAAAGGGGCATTTTTTTAACGTTTTGTATTATTTTTGTATTGTATTTGTTCTTTATTTATTAAGTAGCATGTTCTTCGCACTTAAACCATAAAATTCAATTCAACTGCAATATCGCAAAATAATTTTAAAATGAACATATCTTTAGATTTTTCGATAGACAGTCTCGTGCGCTAGAGACAAAAATGTTTTTTTCTTTTTTCACGTTCAGTCTTGCATTGCTCGCTTTGAAATTGTCGAATTTGTTAAT